AGTCTTAGGAGTATTACTTTGTTATAGATTAAAAAACTAGCAAATTCAGGACAAAAATAATATAAGGCAGTATTTAGGATAATTAACAAACCAACTTCCAAAGTTATGGTAATTATTATAAGCCCAGTTACTGACAAATAGCCATCACCAACACAAAAGCCATGACCATACTACTGTGTGCTTCTCAATTCTCACCAACATTTTAAAAGTGAGGAGACCCAGCAATATTATAAATGTGAAAAGACCTCTTTAGCACAAATCACAATAGGGTGGGAAGCAATGCTGATAACGCAAAGATGAGCTGTTCAAATCCACCCTGTGGCTTAGGGAGAAAACCTAGCACTCAGCTTCCACAGAGATGGTAGTCTGGAAAGTGCTGAGTCCCTTCAGCTCTGTCACATGGGGTCTCTCTGAGCTGGACTTGAGTTGATGTCACCTAACAACACCATAAAAAGCAACACATCTTTTTTTATTACTGAAGAAAATTTTGCCAGCAGTGTGGCCTTTGCACACATTTTCTGTTGGTATTTTTGTGAATCTGGAGAGGGTGGTGTATATTTTTATTGAAAAATATTGTCCTTCACTCGGTAGATATTTATGATACTTGTTAATAAAATAACTGCTTTGTTCAAGGGATTTGAATTATTCATGATTTTGCTGAATTCTTTCCTGTTGGAGTTCCTGACAAAGCCACCCCTCAGTGACTGACTTTCTAAATTTCCTAAGTGATTCCAAATTCTCTTTTGCAAAAGAGAAAAATGAATGTTAGAACTGGAAGGCAATAAAGAAATCTTTGTTTTCTCCCACAGATCTCAAAAGGTTCAGCCAAAGCAAGGATGAAAAAATGTCATTGTTTCTTTGAATGGTAGATTAGAATGTTGACATTTACTCTTCGGTGCCTCTATCAGTCATGGCAAGCGCACACACACACATATGTACTCCCTCTAAATCAAGGATTTGTTACAAACTCTGGATTTTTGCTTATAATGAGGCTTGGGAACCCAGAAAGACCAATGGACTCTTACTTCCCACTGGTAACCCCTAAATACCCCGCCCATTGTATTCAGCTTAATTATTTTTCTCCCAGAGACAGGATGTTATTTTGAAATTAGGGATGTTCTGAGTAGAAAAATTAAAATATCACCTTCTTGCAGTGGCTTTTATCAATACTGCTGCTGTGGTCAAGCTTTTTTATGGCTTTGCATTTGGGCCCTCACTTTTTAGGTTGTGTTTGGTTTTTGAAGCAACACTTTCAATCCCCTGGTAACTTAACATTTCTATTCATCAATTACATTTCTCTGGACTACTTCTTCCCTTAGATGCCATTGTGTTTTCTTAGGAATTTATTTTGTACTTGGGGGACAGTCGACTCCACAATAATTTTTAACTTTAAATAAAAGAAAATTTTGATATAGTATTTTCCAACAACTTTTCTCTTCAGTGTAACAAAGGATCTCTACCCCTGGAAGCAATGCTTTCACTGAAATTGGCTAGAAGACTTTACTAGAGTAATGGGAAATCATGATACTAACTCAAAGGTACAGGGAGCACGGAGGCGTGCAATGGCCAGTTGTTGTGAAGAGCTGTTGACGTGGTTCTGACTCAGAGTGACCCATTCAGGCTTCCGAGGAGCAGCTGGGTACGTTCAAAGTGCCTACTTTGTGTCCAGTGCAGTACTATCCCACAGGCCACACCAGGGTAGTGTTCTTTATTCATCCACTTTTCAGCATCACATAGGTCCCATCCCCCCTGGAAAAATCCTCACTTCTCCACTTCCTACTTCCCATCCTGAACTTAGCAAAACAGCAAGCCACTTGCTTCTCAGGGGGCTACGCTCTGCATCCACCTGTACCCGGTATTCCTCCTCGAGTGTCCGGCTCTGTAAAGGACACATGCGCTGTACAGACAAGTCATAGTCGTTGTGGACTTCCTTCTCTTCCTCGCATCTCATGCTCAATCCATCCACAACTTGTGAACTCCCTGCCTTCAGAAAAGCTGAAAGCTTAGTAGGGTCCACTGCTACACCCTTATCAACGGTGTCAACACGCCCATCCCAGATGCTTCCCTCTGCTTACACATTTACCATTATAGTGAAGTCTCCAGTCATCTTTAAGGTGGAACTCCATAGATGTTTCTCCCACATTCTCCCACCCTCCCATGGCTTCCAATCCAACTCACAATATAATCCAAACATCAGACCAGCTATCACTGTCATTTTGGTCAGTGGCTCAAGCTCACCAACCGCTCCTTGGAAACTCTATACAGGGTTGCTATGAGCTGGAACCAACTCGATGGCACTTAACATAAACAACATTCTTCCCCTTGGACTCTGGGTGTGGTGCTATAGAATAAGAATGAGACTGTAAGGTTAGCTTGAACCACAAGGTTTACAGTGTAAGCTCTCAAGCTGCTCCTTGGAAACATTATATAGGGTCGCTATGAAGTAGAATTGACTCAACAGCACTTAACACCAGCAATTCTTCCTCTTGCTTCTGTACCTCTAACCACAACTCCTCACCTGATAAAATCTGTTTACTCAGTCCCTGCAGATGTTCCATCTCCCAAGGATTCTACCACAGATCTGAAACAGCAAAGTAGGTGTCTGTTTATCTGTTACCACCTAGAAGAAGGCCTCCAGATACTCTATTTAGAGGAGAATACCCACCACCACATCTCTAAGTATTTCCTAATTCTGATTTGTTTTTGTGTTTTTGTCAGGTAATTTTTTACTGGCTGTTGTTGTTATGTGCTATGGAGTCAGTTCTGACTCATTTCTATACATTTCTGTACAGGGTTTCTGAGGCTGTAAATCTTTACTGGAGCAGAAAGCCTCATCTTTCCCCCACAGAGCAGCTGGTAGTTTTGAACTGCTGACTGTGAGGTTCACAGACATATTTGTAACTACTACGGTACCTGAACTCCATAAGAATTAGAATGTAATCTTACATATCAACACAACATATGAAAGTATCTGGGTAAATCTACCTCTGCAAGCCTAAAAGAAACCTGTGTGTGTGTGTGTGTGTGTGTGTGTGTGTGTGTGTGTGTGTGCAATCAGGTGGTTTGTTGGTAAACCCTCCAACAAGAGTGTACTTTGTACAACCCGTGGACATTCATGAGTTAGTGAGTTTGGATAAACCTTTCTAGATCTCTCTTCTTTCTTTCTCCCATGCAACTTTATTCAGAATGAGCTATACTCCCTTTATTGCTTGTGGTTCTCAACCTAATCCAGATCTGGGCCAGTCCTTGTGGAAATACACACAGGATCAGATTGTTATTTCTGTTGTTGTTAAGTGCCATTGAGTTGGTTCTGACTCATAGCAACCCTGTATAGGGTTTCTGAGGAGCATCTTGTATGAGAATGAACTGCGTACCTTGTGGTTCAAACCAACCTTGCAGTCTAAAAATGCACACAATGAAAAACACTGAAAAACACAGTTCTTGAGCTAGTTATCTTTATGTTTACTCACCTCACCAACATCCTAGGACCAATGTTTCCTAACCCAAATGATTTCACCTTGTTGCTGGTATAGTTATTAGGTGCCATCGAGTCAGTTCCTACTCATAGCAACTTTATGCACAACAGAATCAAACACTGCCTGATCCTGTTCCATCCTCACAATTGTAGTAAGCTTGAGCCCATTGCTGCTGTGTTAATCCATCTCATTGAGAGTCTTTCCCTATTTTATTGACCCTCCACATTAGGAAGCATGATGTCCTTCCCCAGGGAGAAGGGCTGCTCCTTCCTGAGAACATGTCTGGAATGTAAGAGACAAAGTCTTGCTCTCCTGGCTTCTAAGGAGCATTCTGACTGGACTTCCAATGCAGACTTGTTTGTTCTGCTAGCAGTCTGTAGTACTTTTAATATTCTTCTCCAAACCATAATTCAAATGCAACTATAGTAGATAATAGTTTTCCTTAGTTATTGTCCAACGTTCACATGCATATGAAGTTATGAAAATACCATGGCTTGAGTTGTTGTTGGTAAATGCCATAGAGTCAGTTCTGACTCATAGCAACCCCGTATAAGTTTTCCAAGGAACAGCTGGTGGATTTGAACCATCAACCTTGTGGTTCAAGCCAATCTAGTGGCCTAGTGCTTATCCTACACCAGGACTTCAGAGACCTGTGTTGTTGTTGTTGTTGTTGTTAACTGCTGTAGAGTTAGTTACAACTCACAGTGACCCTGTATAGGGTTTCTGAGGAGCGGCTGGTGAGCTTGAACTGCCAACCTTGCAGTTCAAACTGACTTTGCAGTCCAGTGCATTAGCCTGCAGCAGCAAGTGCAGGAAACCAAGCCTTTAAAAGTGTATGTGCATTCCTAGAAAGCCATTATGCACCTTCCTCTGTTACTAATGAACAATGATTACTCAAATGTTGTTGTTTCCAACTCATAACTACCCTATATAGGGTTTTCAAGAAGCGGCTGTTGAGTTTGAATTGCCTACCTTTTGAGTTAAACCGACCTTGTGGTCCAAGGGTTAATCTACAGTGTTACCATTAGTTCAAAAGCCTACAGAGGCGTAATGGGTCTAAATTGTTAACCACAAGTCAGCATTTGAACCTACCAGCTGCTTTGCAGTAAAAAGATGAGGCTTTCTATTTCCTTAAACATTTACAGCCTTGGAAACCCTGTGCAGGGTCACAATGAATTGGAACTGATTTGACAGCACACAACCAAAACCACTAAAGATTGGGAATGCATAACTAATATTAAATCCAAAACAGACAAAAGGAATATGCGAGTTCATATATACACTCATCTTTTTTTGTGTTTTGCAGTTTGTAAACTAGACAAATGGAAACATGAGCTCATCTACAAAGCAAAAATTCACCTACATAGTCACTAACCGGGTATAGCTCTATTATACCGATGGTCCTAAGCTCACAGTATCTGATTATTCTCTTTTTGTCTCTGAAAATTAGGAGAAAAATTCGAGGCCACTAGATTGCAACCACAGTAAGCTTAACTGTTATGTGGAAAGCGCTTACTCACTCACCGGTGTGTAGATAAATTATTAAGGTGAAGTCCATACTTTTCCTCAGCAGATAATCCATCCATCAGCAAATAGAAGACGAGAAAATTACTCTGGCCAAGAGGTTGTGAAACAAGTCGAGACTTCTCTAGCATATATGTATAGATTCTGGCTGATTAAAGCAAAAGAAAAAAAAAGAAAAGAAAAAAGAATGATTCTGTAAATGTGAGTGGCATTATTACTTTCACTATTTCCATATATTTACACATATTACTTTAAAACCAGAAACAGTAATGCCATTTCTTTTCCACCACAGAACTTTTGTACACAAACTTAAAGTGCACAAACCTTGGCATTTGCCCTTCACAAAGGCTCTAAAAGAACTCTTAGTCCTTTCACCCATAATGATTCACAATTTTAAATTAACAGGTAAGCTACAATGTTGTATAATATATATTATGCTGAACATATCACATACTTTACTAGGGGCTGGGCCAGAATAAAACATCAACACAGCAGTAAAAGGCCAAATCAAAGCAAAATAAAACTTGCCCTGAGTCAGTTCGGACTCAGTGGGAGGCCATGGGTCAGAGTGGGGTTGTGCTGTGTAGGGTTTTCAGTGGCGGCAGAAGATTGCCACACCTTTCTTCTGAGGCCCATGTGGGTGAAGTTGAAGTGCTAACCGTTCAGTTTTTTACACCATCCAGGGTCTTCTGATCACATGATCAAGGTCCAGAATAGAAACTAATATATATTATAGAATATACCAATGTCTCCTACTAGAAAGACTAAAAACAGACAAACAAAAAAAACCCACTGTAGCAAATGAGAATGCAACTTGAATACAGCAGATAAGATTTAATATGTATACTACATGTTAGGGAAATTTCAAGACTCATACTGGTATCTTATGACAGGAGCGAAACCACATAACATAGTGGCAGATAACGGAACTCTGATAATCACATTTACAACAGAGTTAGGGAGTAAGGTAGACAATGTGTCCAGTCCCCCTCTTACTTCATTGCTACACCCTGTGTGTACTAGATCCACTTGTCACTGTTTGGGGACTCTACCTTCAGAATACTTCACAAGAAAACAGAAGAAATGACCTGCATCATAAATACATTTATTTTAAACTTATTTCAAGGTAGCTGAGCATGAACAAAAGGACACAATGTGGGTATCATAACCTGGATTTTGCTTCAAAAATTAGGACTGGCAATATCGTAACTATCAATCAAAATTTATAGCTATGTGTTTGGCAAGCAAAAAATGGAATTTCCCTGGATCCTCTTTTTTATTTGAAACTAAGTTTATTCTTCCCATTATTGCTGTTGTTAGGTACCATTGCGTTGGATCTGACTCATCAAGACCATAGTCACAACACAATGAAACTCTTCCCAGTCCTGCGTAATCCTCACAATTGTTACGTTTGAGCCCACTGTTGAATCCATGTCTTTGGGGGTCTTCCTCTTTTTCACCGACCCTCCGTGTTATCAAGCTGGATGTTCTTCTCCGGGGACTGGTCCCTCCTGACAACATGTCCATAGTATGATAGGTCAAGTCCCACCATACTTGCTTCTAAGGAACATTCTGGCTGGACGTCTTCCAATGCAGATTTGTTAGTTCTTCTGGGAGTCTGGGTACCTTCAGTATTCTTTCACAGCACATAACTTGAATGCATCAGGTTTTCATTTGCAACTTTCATAACATACAAGACAACTGAAAACACCATGACTTGGTCCAGGCACACGCCCAGTCTTCAAACTTACATCTTGGCTCTTTAATACTTAAAAAAGGTCTTTGCAGCAGACTTCCTATATGCAATACATCCTTTAGTTTTTGTGTTATCCTAACAACTGTTGTTACATCTGAGACCTGCTATTGCCACTGTTCCAATCCATATCCTTGGGGGTCTTCATCTTTTTCCTTGACCTTCCACTTTAACAAGCATGCTGTCCTTCTCCAAGGAGCGGACCCTTCTGATAATATGTCCAAAATATGAGAGACGAAGTGTCACCATCCTGACTTCTATGGAGCATTCTAGCTGTACTGCTTCCAACTCAAATTTGTTTGTTCTTCTGGAAATCCACGGTACTTTTAACATTCTTTTCCAACACCATAATTCAAATGTATCAATTCTTCAAATGGTCTGCCTTATTCATTGTCCAACTTTCACATGCATATGAGACATATGAAAATACCAAAGTTTGGGCCAGATGTACCTTAATCCTCAAACTGATTATCTTTGTTCTTGAACACTTTAAAGAGGTCATTTGCAGCAAATCTGCCTAATGCAATACGTTGTTTGATTTCTTGACTGCTGCTTCCATGAGTGTTGATTGTGGCTGCAAGCTAATTGAAGTCTCTGACAACTTCAATCTTTTCTCTCATTGTCATGATGCTATTTATTGGTCCAGTTGTGAAGATTTCCGTTTTCTTTACATTGAAGTGTAATCCATAATGAAGGCTGTAGTCTTTGATCTTCTACGGTAAGTATAACTAAACAATTATGTATTTGAATTTCAAATGGAGTAGAAGTCACTGCAGTTCATCACACTGAAGCAGGACTCCCTTAACAGTTCTCTTTCTGACTGAAGGACAACAGTTCTTGGAAACACTGGTGATGTAACTATTCTCTGCATTGAAGCCACAAATATTGTTTTATGCAACAGATCTGCTCACCACAGACCTAGAGTACAGGAGCAAAAAGCTAAAAGGCGGGGAGGGGGGGAGTCTCTATCCAGTCTCATTCATTCAGTTTCAGTGTTATGCTTCAAATATGCTTGAAAAAAACTATTATTTACAATGCATTTGTCTCTTGTTAATTTACTGTTGTTGTTAAGTGCCATCAAGTCATTTCCAACTCATAGCAACCCTGTATAGGGTTTCTGAGGAGAAGCTGGTTGGTTTGAACCCCTAACCTTGCAGTTAGCACCACATCAGGACTATTGTTAATTTACTAAGTGGGCAATTTAGCCAAAGAGGATGATTATCAATGGTAACAGAAAAGAAATAAAACTGTTTATTGAATAATTAGAAAAGTTTTAAGTATGTAAAGAAAAAGAATGTAATAAAAGAAAAAGAATATAATAAAATTCCCTTTTTACCACTGGTTTCTGAATTAATAATAAACTTCCATGTGGACCTATGTGTGTGATCATGTATGAGGGCTTCAAAGGTTTGTGAAAAAAATTTGAATTGAAAGAAAATACTTTTTCCCCCCCCCACACTTTTTGAAGTCCCTTTGTACACTTGTAGTTTCTTTCCCATGTCCTCATAGGAATTTAATCAGTGGAGGGTCCGTATAAAAGAGGAAGACCCCCCCCCCCAACTGGATGGATGACAGGGTGGCAGCAACAATTGGCTGGGACGTAGTGACAACTGTGGGGCTGACACGGGACCGAGCAGTACTTGGTTCTGTTGTGCATTGTTACTACGAGTTGAAGCCGACTCGATGGCACCTAACATAACCTTTAATCAGATGGTAATTGCTCTTTTTAAAAAATGATTTCATGATATATTGAATGAGATTCACATTCTTCCTGTTGATATTTTTTCTTTCATCTTTTGGAAACTTTGTATTGGTAATTGAGTGTCACGTAGTAATTTCGAGTTCATAACTTAGTTATGGATTCCTGATGGGGTACCGTAGGATCAGCACTGGATTAAACCACCAGGTTGCCAATTCAAACCCACCAGCTGCCTCTTGGCAACCCTATGTCGGGTTGCTATGAATTGGAACCAATTTGATGGCACTTAACAACAATAACAACATCTTAGTGATTACATTTTCTTTTCTTAAAACTCTGCATCTCTAACTTTCTCCCCAAAGAATTCTGTGCTGTTTGATTTACACCAAGTCCTCACGGAACTCAAATTGTATATCTTTTAAATATTTTTTGAGTTTGGGAAATAAAAGTCTGAAAGGTTGAGATCAGAGCTGTATAGTGGATGGGTTAGTTTCCTAATAAAAATCCTCAAAAGACTGCCCATCCTTCCCTTGAAGAGCTTTTTAAACAAATTCTTTGCTAAAATACTTTCCATTATGTTAACGCATTAACAATATTAGTCCTGAAATAATTTATATTCAAAAGAATATTATTTTAAAATCTACACATAAAATAATTGTCCCCTTTGTTCTGTTTTATTTTTCCTTTTAACCATCAACCAAACAGATACCAGGTTAGAGGGGAAGCTGAATTGGTGACACTATACTGATATTGGGAGTCCTGGTGTGGCGCTGTGGGCTAATGTGCTGGACTGCAAATTTGGTTTGATTCGCAAGGTCTGTGGTTCAAGGTCACCTGCCACTCCTTGGTAACCCTATACCAGGTTGCTATAGGTCAGAACTGACTCAACAGCTCTTATCATCAACAACAACATAATCAAATAGAGTTGACTTTTGTATCCACCTGTCCCAGCCAACATAGAAGCTTTAGTTGAAACCACATTAAAAACTAATCAAATTCCACACCATAGAGTGATTTCAAAACCTTACACTAAATTCAAAATTAGCGAAATCTTCCTCGTTAGCTCATCTCCAGCAGTAAAGAAAATTGCTGTGTGTAAGCAAAATTTTGATCAGTAGGGCTTAAAACATGTCTTAAACAAGCCAGTTTCTGTACAAAAATAGAAAGCAACCAAAATTTCAAAGCACCAGGAAACTCTAATATAAGAGTAGGTTAAAAAAATACTGTTATTAGGTTACAGTTCACACATACACAGGTTTATTCCAAACAAAAAGTGCTTGAATATGTCTCTGAAATGTAGAACGGATACAGACACTATATTCTCTCAGCAATATACTTTTCGTAGTTACATTACTGTTGTTGTTAAGTGCCATTAAGTCGGTTCTGACTCATAGAGACTCTGTGTAGTGTTTCCGAGGAGCAGCTGGTGGGTTGGAACTGCCGACTCTCTAGTGAGCAACCTAGTGTTTATCCTACAGCACCATGCCAGGACACTGAGGACCTTATTTAAAAATAGTGTTGTAAAAGATCAGCAAACTTGAAGCTACTGGTGACCCTTGTATGGGATGAATCGTAACCAATAGAACTCAGAAAGCAAGGTTTAATTAAAACAGTCACTCCTGAGGAGCTCTGTTGGACCAGTCACATTCAAGGCAGACAAGTTAGCTCAAAATATTACAACCATTGCTTTCTGGAT